GTCGGTGATCAGTGCCGCATTCGGCATCTACTCTGTCTTTTGTGAGACTGGCATCTTTTAGGTGCGTCCTTCGAACGATTACGTGGTCCAATTGGTGCCAATGGCCTGATCACGGATGTTTCCAGGTACCTTTAAATTTGTCCTTCAGCATGAACCACGTATTGGTGATGCAAAGATTATACTCTGTGCATGTTGTTAATAAGCGTTCACCATTGGTATTTACTTTTCCTATTCCATGTTTTCCCAATACGTCAGGCCATATTTGTTGTTTGCCGATAACTTTATAACTAATGCCTATAACGTTTGCCGACACGGGCATTAAAGTCACCTAGCAAAATGATTCGTTCGTGCTTCGGAATTAGTTGGAGTATATTTTGCAGAGCTTGGGAAAATTTATCCTTATCCTCAATTTTAGCGTCTAGGGTAGGAGCGTAGGCACTTATGTTGTTGACGTAAGTTTTGTCTGATATGGGGTACCTTAGGGTCATAAGACGTTCGGAGACACCAATAGGTCCCTCTGTTAATTTGGTGGCAATTTCGTTTTTGATTGCAATGCCTACTCCATGAATTCTCCTGTGTGTTGCCGGGTGACCCTTCCAAAAGAAGGTGGAATTCTCCTCAGTGAGACTACCTTCATCCGCAAAGCGAGTTTCGCTAAGAGCGGCAACATCTATATTTAGTCGGTGGAGTTCCTGTGAGACCAGTGCTGTTCTTCTCTCTGGTCGATTGGAGTTTGTCCTATCCAGTAGAGTGCGGACGTTCCACGCCGCAAACGTGAAACATTGACGATGTTTAGTTCTCCGATGATACGCTCGAGTAGGCACCCCCACCCGGAGATCCAATTCAGGGGGTATTTTACCTCCAGACGATGATTTTGTCCTACTCGAATGTTCCATCTTTGATGAGTGTAAGCTGCGTAAAAAGGTTAAACTGTGACGGTTACGCTGCCGCACAGTTTGGCTGCAACTGTAGCACGAGATGGCTATGGCACAGTGAGGACTGCGACGATATTTCCCTTGTGCTACGTTCTCGGCCGGCTAGGAGTAGTTTACTACTCCTCTTCCCCAGAAAGGTGGTAGGTCTGAGGGTTGTATAATGATATACCGCCTATACTCGGTCGTCAGAGCCTCATTTGTTTAAACAGGGTGCACCACGTGAAGGTGAGGTTGACTTTTGGGTAAGCTAGGCTATATGTATCGCTTCAATACCCCTTGCACCCCATACAAATTTTATGCAAAAGTTTTATTAGACTTTTTTGAAGACGCGTTAAAGTTGAATTGTATTTTTACTAAGAGTGAGTTCCAGGTGGGACCCTCCACTGAGGCCGCGAGGGCCTATTGTGGCTCAGTTTCTACAAGCTCTTTAATAGAAAAAGAGCATTAAAGTTCGCCCTTAAGACCCAGCCTTTTAACATAGGCCGTTATGTCCGAGGGTGATATGTCTTCTAGGTCTGATAAGTCTAGCGTGGGTTAGCCATACACCTCAAACCTGGTCCTACCCCCAGCGGGGCAGGTACACATAACGTGCTTCATTGTTTCGTCATCTTCCATACAGAGTCGGCATTCGGCGTCTTCCACCAGTCCCATCCTCTGTAGGTGTGATCTCAGCCGGCAGTGGCCCGTGTATACTGCAGTAAGCGTACGCGCTCCGTTCCTACTAGCCTTTAGGAGTTCATTTGTTCTACGTTTGGATGGCCTTGCTAGGATTGTTTTGGCATAACCATTCCGGGACTGTCATACCAGTCCCGAAGCGTTACACCCCTAACCCATTCACAGAGCCTATCTCTTGCGAGATTTTTTGGTACGCTAAGTGTCGGTTCTGGGCCCACGAATGGCGAGCTTGCACCAGTTTTGGCGAGGGAATCAGCACGTTCATTTCCCTCTAGCCGACATGTCCCGGTATCCATATTAGCGACACTTTGTTTCCATCTCCTAATATATTGAGTAGTTTCTTACAATGAAGAATCGTCCTGGACGTACTTTTCGTTGCCTCAAGTGCTTTCAACGCGGCTTGACTATCCGAAAATATGCTTATTGTTTTCCCGGTGTATTGCTGTTCTACCAGCAGTTGAACACAGGTTTCAATCGCATATAGCTCAGCTTGGAAAATAGTGGTGTGTTTTCCAAGACTCTGGTAGATCTCAGTCTTTGGACTGCTGCAGTAGATTCCTGCGCCAGATCCTTTATCGTTTTTGGATCCGTCCGTGTACCAACATATTTCCGCAAATAATAAGCCGTTTCTCGGCTTATCCCATTCGTCCCTATTCGGAAACAGGACGTTGTAGGTGCGCGTCAAGAGTTGGATTGGTGGTGTGAGATCCGAGACCATTCCCAGAATCTCATCCGATTGTAGTTCGTCTACTAGTCGGTTTTGTATGAACATGATTGTTCCTTGGCTCTCTCGTGCCATATTTAGAAACCTATATGTAGCCCATCTCGCCTCCCTCTCCAAAATAATTTGAAGAGGAGGTAAGTCGTGTAGGGGTTCCATAGCTTTTGACGGCGTAGAATGAAAGGCACCAGTCACCGCTAAGCATGCTTGTCGTTGTAATTTTGACAGTTTATTCTTTGCCGTTGTTTGGTTGGCTTTCTGCCACCGTTAAAGTTGTACTTTCGTCTAGAATTTGGTGTTATTTCGAATAGGCATTTAAATGCTATACGCAAAAATCTCGGCAAAAATCCACCCCTAAATTATTAAAATTTTATAATACGTCCCAGGGAAAGCTACAATTAAAATACCAGCAAAAATGTGATTTTTGTCATTGTCAAATTCAATATCACATTTTATTTACAAGAATTTGAATCAGCTTACCCTAAAATCCTTTGGAGGGTCTCTATAATGGTTTAAAGCAGCTATATTAGCGACAAATCAACCATATAGCTAGTGGTCCATGGTGGACAAGGGCAATTCATGATATATTGTGGTCACAATAAAGAATCTCCCTAAAAATATACAGTGAAAATATTTTTTTTCAGAACAATTGTTGTTAATTTGGCTCTGATATTGTCAGAGCCCGAATTCTGTAACTTAGAAAACGCTAAGCGCTTTTGGACGCTCAGCATATGTGACGTTAATTTTCGCTTAGCGCACACTTAACTTTTCAAAAACGGCTACCTTAAAGGATCGTTTTGCTTGTCGAACTGTCAGTAAAAATTGAAAAAAAGGTGATTTTCTGCGTTCTCTAGCTTTTTAGAGAAAACGACTTCTTCTTCTATAAATTCCTCAATAAGTAATCGATTATTTACGATTTGGCAGCTATAAATATTGTTCAAAACATCGAAAATGCTGAGAAGCGCCTTCAACGTTTTCCTCGTATAATAGAATAATGGCATATCCATAGAAAAATAGGTTGACATAACTCAACAATAAGTTATGAGATTCACGTAACATTGCCATCCACATTTGACTAGTAGCAAATTACACAAGTTTACAAATTCGGGTCAACTTTTGGACCCGAGCAGATGAGAACGATTCTTAACGTTATTTGATGCCCTGAGCTCAGATCTTCAATCCGTTTGTCAAGAATGACTCTTGTTTTCAAGTTCGCGCATGGCAGTAGCACTGCGCTCTTATAACGGCCAAGGTAGTTGACGCACGGTCAGTTGAAGACGTTGCATTAAACATCATTTGGATTTGTATTATGATTGTGCTGCGGAACGTGTGAAAATGCAGAGAGAACGTTGCAAAGTCGATCAAAGCATAACGATCATCATTATGTGAGAAAGGTGTGGCCGAGTCGTACCCACTATGAGCCAGGACCACAAAATGTGTCCTCTGTACCACTTGTAAACCCACAGGACGTTTTACTGCCACCTCTTCACATTAAACTTATTAAGAACTTTGACAAAGCGTTCAATCGCGAAGGACCGGCTTTCCAGTACTTAACCAAGTTGTTTCCAAAACTGTCATACGCAAAAATCAAAGAAGGAATATTTGTCGGACCTGATATTCGAAAACTAATGGCTGACGCAATGTTTACAAAATGTTTAACGCTTGATGAGGCAGCAGCATGGGCATCGTTTCACAGTGTTGTTCACAACTTTCTCGGTAATCATAAATCACCGGATTACAAGCAAGTAATCGACAATTTGTTGCAAAGTTACCACAAGATTGGAGCTCGAATGTCTCTCAAGAAACATTTTCTGCATTCACATCTTGATTTTTTTCAACAAAACTTGGGTGACACAAGCGACGAGCAAGGAGAGCGGCTACACCAAGATATAGCGAAAATCGATAGGCGATACCTAGAATTTTGGGACGAAGGCATGATGAGCGATTACTGTTGGACCCTAATCCGTAAAACAGATCCCAAGCAGTATAAAAAGACTCAGTTCAACCTCTGTTAATTTCTGATTTATATCGTTTAATTCAATAAATGACCGTTAACGGTCAAAAATAGCAAAATAATGAATTTATTGAATATTTCGAAAACTAGAACCAATCTTAAAAATGGACTGCTGATTTGGATTCAGCTCTAAAAATTATCTTAGAAATTGCTTTTAGTTGCTCAGGTTCAAAACCGTGTATACTTGTGTTATTAGATACCTGATAAATTATTGCGATGATACCAATATGTGCTCAACGCTTATCCAGAAAACGATTCGCACGGCAACTAGAATACCAACATCGACTGCTTGGCGTTCCGCTAATCGAATACTTTCGCTTACCGCTTTGAAAGCGTAACGTTTTTATGTCGAAGTTCCAGAATTCGGGCCCAGGCTTTGCCTTTTCATTTCCAAGTTCGTGATTTATTAATTTTTTATTAGTTTTCTCCTTATTTTTTTAAGTTTATGTCTCATTTACGTGGAAAAATGCTGAATAAATAAAACCGATTAGATGTTTTCGAAATTTGTTTAAGTAAGTAATATTATTTAAAATATTTATGGCCTGTCCATGAATTGCTGGCTAACAGAGAATTTCGTTTCCCCCCGTATGCAGATGCCCCGTAGCTACAAAAGGGATTGAAGATATACAGTACATCTTAATTATTTTATTTGCAGAAGAAATTCTCGGATCCAACTCGGCGATATGGATGTCCAGCGACGGTCTCCTAGTCGTTTTCGCTACATTCAACGATACCCTCGTGGAGGAGCTGCGGTTTCCTTGGTACGGGTCAATAAGCGAAGGCCGACTCTATCCGGACATCAGGTCATTAAGATATCCAAAACCGGGCACGAGAAATCCAGCGGTTAGTCTAACTATCGCCGACTTAGCTGATATCGGAAACATTAAGACGAAGAAAGTTATACCGCCACCAGTGATAGCTAACTCGTAAGTATAGTTCAGTCTCAATTACTGGAATAGACTAAATATTCAGTGCAAAAAGATCTGCTCTAAATGGAGCTATATTCAGGGACAGGGGTGAAATTAAGAGTACCGCAGTTTTCAGAGTTGTGCAGATTTATCGCAGTTTCGCACTTAGTTTTTTACTTAGTTTACCTGTATTATCTGTATTGTTTGAAAAATTTGTTTTTTACAAAATTTCACAACACAGTTAGGCTCAAAATCATAATCGTATTTTCTTCAAACGTCACAAAAGTGTTATTTTTTCCGACACGATTGACAATATTAAAAAGTCATTTTAACGCCTAGGCATAAAAGTAAAACAATTTTACACCTAGGCATAAAAGTAGGAAAATATATGATTAAACTCAACCCAAACCAAACTAACCTGTCAAATTCAACGTGTGTATTGTGTAACCATAATATCTGGAAATAGATATGTGTATCTGGAAACTTTCTATTCTTTTCTGGTTTTTCTATATAAGGTATTAATTTTTGACAAATTTTATGTCAGTTCTCAGTAACTGACGTCTAGAGTTCTATCTCGTCAAAAATAGCATCGATAGTCATTCCCCAGCCGCCTTTGACGCCGTTTTTTCTCGATCATACGATACTATTTGGTTTATTTTTGACCACGCCTATTTTATTTTATTTGACAAGATACCGTATGATCGAATAAAAACGGCGTCAGCGATGGCTATGAAATGAAGATCGCTGTCATTTTATGTGTAAATTTATATGGGAAATGTCATCGATGTTCATTTCATAGCCATCGCTGACGCTGTTTTTTCTCGATCAGACGGACCAGCGAAATTTGGTTGACTTGATAATTCCTTGGTAATTCCGTTGCCATGGTAACTAAGTAAAACGTTAATATACTTACCAAACCAAACCAAAATCAATTATTTCGTTAATAAGTATTCTTCTATAAAAAAAAGTATTCGTCAGAAGGTTCAGCATTTAAGCGAATAATAAGAAATTTAAGACTTTAAGTTAAGTATTTGGAAGTCCATAAACTTTTTTTTTGATAATCTGGATGTTTTAAATTTTGTCTTTTTATACATTTTTTTAATATGTATTAGTTAACAATACAGTTAGCAGATACTAGCAGAATGCCTCAAACCCTATATCCTACCACAATACCACCGGAACAGACAGGAACAAATATTTAATATCAGGCAGATCATAGAAAAAGCTTCTGTTACATCGAGTATACTAAGACGTTCGCACAAACTGTGGAACCACAATGACCAGGTCAGAGTAGAAGACGTTCTCACCGAGCCTTCTAGTGTTAGCAGAGATGTTAGACAAAGACGTATACTAAGCCCTATGCTCTGAATAGATAATGAGGCGTGCCTTAGATAAATGGGAAGGAATAATAACGATCAACGGTGTCAAAATTAACAACCTGCGGTACGCTGATGACACTACACTGATTGATGGTGATGAAAACGAAATGCAACAACTCCAAGATAGAAGATCAAGATAATGTTAGTAGACAGACAAAACCAAAACCAAAACAGATCAAATACAAGGAAGATCAATAACAACAAAACGGTAAACACGTACACATATCTTGGCGCTCTCATCACGAATGAGAGTGGATGTGGTGAAGAGATTAAAAGAAGATCCGCACTAGCTAAGCAAGCTATGACTATGACGAAGTTCACAAAGATATGGAAAAGTCATCGTGCCACACTTAACACCAAAATAAGACTCGTCAGAAGCCATCAAGCAATCGGATAAGAAGAAAATATAGATGCATTCGAGATGTATTATTGGCGTCGAATGCTAAGGGTCTCTTGGACTGAGAGAAGAACTAATATATCAATCCTCCAACAGATTAGAATAAAAAAGGCTCCGCACTATTGTCGCAGAAAACATTGCTAGGTTTTTTGGCCACATAGCCAGGCGGGATGGGTTTGAAAAACTGACGCTGGAGGACATGGTGCAAGGAAATGAAGCCTCTGCCGACTAAGAAAAAAAAGAAGTTAATAATAAATTCCGATACTTATAAAAAATAAAAAAAAGTTAAAATATTTTAACAATAATTTTGACAAACAAAAAAACAACTAAAGTCAGTTTATGTTGTTTCGGGAATTCTCGGATTCTCCGTATTCCTCGTAATTACCCAATATATTACGCTTGATCCTCGAATAGTACGGCGTCGCTCGGTTAATACGGATTTCAACAGCGCAGCGGTGTAAAAGATCGCGCACACTATACCTGCACGGACCGGCACGGACCAGACCAGTAAAATCTACCGGTGAAGGTGACCGTGTTATTTAATAGAGTACAGCACACTAGACCAGTACTAGCACGTACCGCCACAAGCCACGACCGTCAAAACAGGTCGTGTCGGTTAGGGACAAATATGACCGGCAATATTTATGCCTGGTCGTGCTGGTCCGACCTAATGTGCGCACCGGCGAACCAGCACACCTCCACAAACATGCAAATATTGAAGGGTTTGTCAGTATTTCGAGTACGCTAGCTGGCTCAAGTCGCATGATGTAGGTTAGATTTCGTTTATTTTTGTTCGAATTATAAGAAGTACTTTGTCAATGGAGATGGAGAGAAATATCTTTTAGTCCTTAAAATTTAAAAAAAAAATATATATTTTTTTTATTTTTAAAGTAAAATAACTCCTAAATTTTGAACTTATTTTAAAAACGGTAAAGAAAAAACGTTGCTTTATCGAGATTTACCAGCCCTAAAAATATTTGCACTTGTTTAAGACTCACCCTGTATAGGAATGATTTTATTCTCTTAGTTCTCTTAAAAATAGGTTCGTTTAGCGCAGAATAATGCAATGATGTATCAGTATTCTAAATATATACACATTTTATCCTAAATTCTATTTATACCTTGAAACCTTTCAAGTAAGAGGATTCCATCTCAATTATATATTTATGGAAATGTTCTATATTTATAATTCAGACCCTCCGATTTATACTGCTATATTTTATCTGTTTACCTTTACAATAAAATGATCGAAGGGATAGAATTATAGAAAAGGTCAAATCTCAAACGATTATTTCTAGCATTTAATGTTTGGACTGAAATAAATTTTGCACGACTGAAATGCATTACTATTTTACGAGCTATTTTATGAGTATTCTGTCAACTCATTTTTTTTTCCCGTAATTCCACTGAAATATGATGGAAACCTGTCTAGATAACTGACGAGATCATTCAGTTTTACACTAAAACTGTCATTTAGCTTACTTAAATAATATGGACAATTACCCCATCTTTAATAATATGCGTTTAAAAATCTAAAACACTCAGATGCAAAAAAAACGCAACAGAGAAATTTTTGGTCAAATTTAAAATATTTTTGTTATGTTTAGATCTATTTTCATGATTTTTTTAGCAAGCTGTATATTATAATTTTATCAACTTTAATTCTTTAACTCAGTTTTTTATAAACTTTAGTGTTTGGCATATTAACAGGGTTAATCGAGGGGTTAACTTTAAAACACCCTGTGCAATAATTTCGTGTGTTCTAATTAAGTTCATATATATATATGATATATATAAATATATATATATATATATATATATATATATATATATATATATATATATATATATATATATATATATATATATATATATATATATATATATATATATATATATATATATATATATATATATATATATATATATATATATATATATAGTCGGTTCAGAACATTCTTCCGACACCTAACCTCCACTCTTGTCTATTTAGCCAGAGATCATCAGGTATTTCTCTATTTTCTAGTTCTTTATCCACACCCTCCCTCCAGCTTCGTCGCGGCCTTCCTCTTTTATTTCTGCCTCGAGGTGTCCACAATAAAATTTGTTTTGGTATTCTGTGATCGGGCATTCGTTGCACATGACCAAACCATATGAGTTGTTGAATAGAAAGAGATAGAAATAGAAGAACAGGCGGGTTTTAGAGCGGAAAAGTCTACTGTGGATCATCTGTTTACCATAACACAGGTCTTAGAGAAAAAAGCGACAAAAGATCAATAAGTACACTTACTATATATAGACCTCCAAAAGGCTTATGACAGCATACCATTAAATAAATTGTGGGAAACGTTGGAAATAACTAATATAAATGTCAACCTACTTAAATCAGTTAAGAACTTATACCACCGTACATGCTTATACCAGTACACCACAGCTAGTATAAAAATACGAGACTCATTGTCAGAAAGCATAAAAATTACAAAAGGCCTCAAGCAGGGATGTTGCCTATCTCCTATACTATTCAAAATAGACCTGCAACAAGCTATATATATATATATAGTCGGTTCAGAACATTCTAATGAGGACACCCTATACACCCGTTTTCGGACGACCGAAAGAGGAGTATAAGAAATGGGGGTAGGAGGTAAATATCACCAAAACTGAATGTATGACTGTAGGGGGGCCACAAGAGAACATAGTCTTAGAGGATGGAAGCGTGATAAAAAAACTGTGACAAATATAAATATCTCGGATTAAAAATAACTAACGATGGAAAACTCGACAAGGGTATAAAAGATCGAATAATGCAAGGCAGAAGGGCAATATCTATATTGAATGGTGTACTGTGGGATCAAGGAATCTCTAAAGCTAATAAGAAGAACATATATAATACGGTAGTGAAAAGCATAAAAACTTACGGAAGCGAAGTATGGCAGTTGAAAAGCAGAACACAGAACATGCTATTAGCGACCGAAATTGATTACTGGAGGAGATCTGCTGGAAAATCGAAAAGAGAACAAATAACCAACAACAGAGTAAGGGAGATTATGGGAGCAGAATACACAATTGTGGACGTGCGTGAATTGTGGATAAGATATTTTGAACTATATACTACTATAAATTGCCCATCATGTTCGAAGTTTGGTAAATGCTTGTCAGGAGGGTTAGAGGTCGCTAAGCTGTACCAGCTTCATTAAATGAACTTCGCTGTGTTCTTAAAGAAGAATGGGAAAACATAACAC